AGAATGGGAGTGAGAGTACTGTGTGTCTATTTACTGTCGAAGTAATGATGAGTGGAAGCTAGGAGATAGTCTAGAAAAGCAGCAACACTGGAAGAATATTCAAAGGAATTGTACCATTTTACATTCTTTTATTTATCATTTCTTCTGTGGGGGCAATGTATAACTTTGTGTTAATCAGCTGGGACATTTTTTCCATTCCTCTGGGAAGGTTTCCGCCTCCCCTTCTGAGAAGCAGACTGAACTTAGCCAAATGCTGTGCACAGGTTTCAGTGGTAAAGGGTTCCTGCTTTGATAGGGACTTTGCAACAGGTCTCAGGGTTCTCAGGCAAAGCCTTCTATTCTTGATTACTTCTTAGGCATCTTAGTCTTCCTACAGTGTTCTGTTGCCCTTCTTAGGACTTTGACTTTTTTTGTCAGGTCTTTTGACATTTATAAGTTGAATGGTGTGTTCAGTTTTGAACCTTTAGCTGACTCTCAGATCTGTCATCTCAAATACCATCTCTAAGATATTCACATTTTTATTCTGTAGAGCGTGACAAGACAATGTTGATTTGAATTGACAAAACCTCTACACAGTGTCTTTGTTTCAAACGTCTTAGAGATGTAGCAGTACTCAGTTACCTGTTTGATCTCATTTATCCTTTCAGTCTAGCTAAGAAAAGCTGGCAGCTTTAAACTTGCTTAGGAGTGTATCTTTGGCTTACCTGCCCTCCCTGATCTACAATTCCATGTTAACGTCTTATATCTATAGCTTCAGGAAACAAGAGTAATCCTTCCCTCTCCTTCTTTGTATTGCTTTGTGAGTTGAGTAACGTAAGATTTCCAGAAGTGTGGCTGTAACAATAACAGGGAACTGAATGGCCACGAGCCAGCTAGCGTAACTTTGCAGCAGCCCACATCACCAAAGGCTTAAACACTTCTCATAAATAAACACTTCTAATATATTTCATCCAGACACCGAGCTTTTTTTTTTTTTTCAATTAGATGTAACTTTCTTAAATGTGTGATGTGATGTACACAACATTTGTATTGCTTTCTTGTTGTGAGGCAGCCGCTTACCATCATTGTGCTGGCACTCAGCGTGCTGTACGTTGTGAGGTTATTTAAGAGGACCAAATGGCCAGTGTGAACATTACCTTCCTTTCCACTGGCTCTGCTTAAACATAACGCTCTTTTTCTGCCTCAGAAACGCATGTAAAGGTATGTATAGTATGTTAGCCCCTCCTTAGCCTTTCCCACCCTGAAAATTTTCAAACAGGGATGGCACGTTCCTCTCTTCACTGCCAATAAAAGAAATAAATAAATAAAAAATTCCTTTCACGGCATTTTCCCCTCCCCCCCACTTCTTCCCAGCTGACAGCTGTGAGTGTAACTTTCAGGAGCTATCCTATCCAATTCCCCTCACTCTGTTTTTGAGTTGGATTTGGTTTAAATACGCAAATCATCTTTCACACTGCAGGGTTTTTTTAAACATAGCAATGAAGTGGCTTTGCCAATGCTCAGTGCAGGTGGAGACGCAGCGACTTTGTTTGTTTGTTTTGAATGTATGTGTTATAAAAAAAATAATTCCCCCCTCACGTCAATTTAGAAAGTTGTCTGAGAATCATTTTGAATAATGCAGTCATCTCTGAAGTGACAGGAAGGCCAAAGTTTCATAATAATAAAGCTTTTTTTTCAAGATGATTTCCTTATAATTCAAGCAATCTATTTGATTTTCAAACTCTTTCAAACCAAACAAAAAATCCTATTAACAAATGGAAGGATCATATTCAAAATGTAGCGAGAAAATCAAAATAATGTAATTTAAGAAACTTATTGAACTTTGTGGTTGCTTTTCAGCCGTGGAAGTCCTGATACAAAGTGGGGCAATTTTTCAGTTGATTAGTTTGTACTTTGATCAGACCGTACGGTTACAGCTAGCTCCAACATAAACATGTACAGCAGCTCAGGTTTTATGAGAAGACAGTTTTCTGTCCTCACTGCCATTAGGCTGTGTGCAAAGGAATGTGAGACAGGTAGTTGTACTTCAGTTGATTTTACAAAGCCAGAGGAAATGCGTAAAGATGTGTGCAGTTGTCTCTGCGGAATCTGAACACACAATTATAATTAAATTGTTGAGGTAATAAGAAGGTTAGCTGGTTATTTTTTCCTGAGATGATCGGAGTTGCATGTCTGTATTTTGAAGACACCAGGTTTGCCAGGGCTAAAAGAGGACTGATGGATTCATCAGTTATGAAATTCACGAATTTCCTGAATTCATAAAATCCCTTGATTTCTGGAAACTACGTTCAGGATGCCTTGAGACTACTTGCTGCAAGCCTTTTATTGAGCTTTTTGTTACCGTAGTACACCTGCTGAAGTACAGCAGTAGAGATTTAAGTGACAAAAACCATGTATATTGTAGACAGGCATAAGTGGTGTTAGTTTTCTTGTCACCTTAAGGGTGTACAGTCTTGGATCATTAGATGGTAAATGTAAATTAGCCTTTACGCTGCCCCACTGACTAGAAGAGTCAGTAATCTGTGACAAAATGACAAAGAAGAGGAAAGCTGTTTTTGCAGCTGGTAGATTATACAGTTTTGGACTAGGATAATAATAAATATATTGTGCTTAAGAGCCAAGTGCAGTGTGTTGCAAACAGACATGCTTGACTTGCCAGTAGTTTTAAACTGAGAACTTTGCACAACTCAGTTTTAGAAAACTTGCAGTTTTCTCTGTCCTCTCCCATATGCTTGCATGCACACCTGCAGTGTTCTTGGTCATTAGAATTCTAGAACCTCTGTAGGAGGAAGCACATCAGGCCTCTGCCTTGCAGCCTTGCTTGACAACATACAACTGTTTTGTAACTTCTTTTAATAAGAGAACATTTTGTTTTGTGGAGACATGATGGCTGGCACATGAACAACACCTAAAATGCCTGCTGCCAATTTGTTGTTTGTTACTTGGTTTATTAATTAAGTTACACAAAAGATTTGGAAAAAGACCAACAGTTGTTTTTTGTTTCTTTTTTGTCCCATATTTTGGACTGCCTAGCCAGAGGAGAACAATTGCTGGTGCAGAGATGCATGAGAGTCCCCAAAGGAGGTTAGCTCTGTTCTTTCACTAAACTAGACTGAAGCCATACACCTTCACTGTTGTCATAAATTTTAGTTGAGATATCCTGTTGGTCTATTCATTGAACTCTGTATAGATCTGATCAGAGTACGCCAGTGCTAAAAACTTCTGTTGGCTTTAAAAACAATCAAAAGCCACATGGTTTTGAAACAGAAAATAATTTCCTAAAAGTGAAAACATGTTTGAAATTGAAACTTCAGTTCACTGAAGTTGGCTCACTGGATTCTTTTTCTCATTTCTACAACCTTTACCTTCCTTTTGTTTAGTTTTTTTCTTAAGTTACATAAATAAAGCGTAGCGTTTCATGTGGTTTCTTGCTGGCTTAATTATGTAACATACAAAATGTAATGTCTAGATGCAATCACTTTTCATTTGCCTGTTTCTAACATTTTTTTCAAAACAGTAATTTTTTAGTACCAAGATTCAGTTGGCACTCTGGATACAATTGATAGAACAGATTTTTAATGGCTGGAAGTTGGTGTAGTTACGTGTCCTACAAGAGATAAAAATTTGTATAGAAATGATGGTTTGGCCTAGTATATCCTTCCTATGGGATATTTTTGCCACAGGAAGTAACTTTTCTCTAGAAATTTATGTAGTGGATCAGGCTGGGATTCAGCTGAGCTCAGCAAAGTGTCTGAAAAGACCTCTGGTCAGCCTCCTTTCAGGCACCTTTGGATTATGAACTAGTTAGTAGTCTTCCTGTAGAAAGTTTCCTCTTAAAATCACTCTGTGGGCTAAAGTGTGAAAGTCTTTGCTCTGTTTGTGCATCTTCTTTTTACCCACACAAAGATAAGCTTCTCAGCTTATCAGTGCCGTCAGTTTGGGCCTTGGCAGTACATTCTGGTGAGCAGTTCAACTTGCAGTGCAGAGCACACCTTTCCGTGCAAGTCTCTAGAGCCTCCCTGCCAGTCTGTCCTTCTAAGAGGCTTTTGCATGGAAAACTCTTTTTTTTTTTTGTTATTGATTTCAGTGGAATTATGCACATTCTTTAGTTCTAGCTGAAACCAAGGGTTTTGGTATTCTTATCTTCTGTGGTCTGTTGACGGGAATGTCAAAAATTGAAAGGATGAAGTCACGGTCTGGAACCTGAGACCCTTGTATCCATCGATTTACATAGTTTAAAATGGCACGAGATAAACAGTTAGCTGGCAGTGTGCTTGATCAAGGTCAGGCATTGCTGTGGCTCGCAGGAGGTGCTGGCCAAGCAGCTCTGTGCCGTGAGCTGCTCTGCACTTCAGCACGGAGCTGGGAGGAAGCAGCAGCCATTTCCACAGCATGCAGCAGGGGCTGCGAGATAAGTTTTTTTTGTACGAAAGTCCTGGTGCATGCACACGTCTGTGGAGCCGTTCCTAACGCTGCTAACAGGTTATCCCAGATCTTTACGCTTTTACGGTCACGATGAGATCCAGCTACTTGTAAGCTGTAGCTCAGAGCCGCACATAAAGCTCAGGGACGCACAACATCCCACAGAACAAGGCCGGTGCCTGGCCCTGGGGAGCAGATGGGGCTGGCTCCCGTCCCGCAGCGTGCCTGGCTCGACCTTCGCTAGGCCTCAGCTCTGCATTCCTCTCCAAGAGGTTCGTGTGGGGCAGCACGGAGCTCAAGGAAAACTTTTTATTCCTCCATCTTGAGGTAAATTACGCTCGGGACAACAAAACGTGAACGCTTGGATGTGAATTTTTTTGTTATTATTTGATTTTATTTAGTGGCTACTGGGAACGACTACCACAGAGCCCTTCCGCCTCCCCCCCTCAGCGCTCCTGCCCCGGCCCTTCCCGCCGCGTCCGCTTCCTCCCGTCCGTCGCGCGGGGCGGCAGCGCGCATGCGCCGCGCTCCTCATCCCGCCCGCGCCGTCCCCCCGCCCCGGTTCCCCCCGCCCTTCGCGCACATCCGGGTCCCGGCGCTGGCCCCGCCGGCGCCGCCGCGCCGCTGTCCCCTCCGCGGGTGCCGCATAAAGTTTTGTTGAGAGCGGGCGGCAGAGGCCCAACCGCCGCCTCCAGCTTTAACGGACGGAGGCCGGGAGGCCGCCTCGCTTCGCGCCGGGTGGGTCGGGGCGCCCCGAGGGCAGCCCGTGGGGGGGCGGCGGCGCGGCCGGGCTGGTGGTGAGCGGGGGGGGGGAAGCCGCGGCCCGCTGGGAAACTTTCTTCCTCTTTCCGTTCCCTGCGGCGGGCGGCGGGGGCCCTCCGGGTGCGCGAGGCCGCTGAGGGGATCGCGCTGACAGCGGGGGGCGGCCGGGCCGGGTTGGAGGCGGCAGGGGGGAGATGGGGCAGCCCTGCTGTGTGCCTGAATGGAGAGACGCGGTGCTGCAGTGCTAACGAGAGGATGGGCTGTTTCGTGTTTGTTTGTTTGTTTTAAATATACGAGAAACTTTGTTTTTTAAATGGTCTTAAACTCCGGACGAACGAATGCGTGGAGTGATAAATGCCCGTGCTCCAAGCGCTTTGGTTAAGAGGCACTTTCTTGCAGGCACTTTCTTGCAGGCACACTTTTCCAACCCAGAGTTCGGCCTGTACTGCCAGCTGCTTGGCAAAAGATGGATGGAGAAGGGCAAGTTTTGTTTTCTGAGGGCTGTAAAGTTAATAGGAGGAAATACGGTCTTGTGGTTAAAGCACAAGACTGGGAATCAAGTGATCGGTGTCCTCCTAATGGAGTTTCTGATAGCAGTTTGAGCAAATCCAGTGAGCCTCAGGGAAATGAGAACGGATTTCCCACAGGCTCAGTGATAGTTGCTGAATCTCTAGGTGGAATCTGGGTTTATAGCTGGCATTCAGTGAGTGATGGGAGTGTTCTGCTATAACTAAACTTGTGAGGAATAACTGTTAGCATGAGCACTAGGCTGTAAGTTTTGGGCTGGGAAATGAGATCGTCAGCGTGTGGTGGCTTTAGATGAAATCTGTGTTAATTTTCAGGTAATTTATCTGCCATATGTGGCTTTAAAATTGTGAGGAATGAAGCTGGTACTGTGTGCTGTGCTTCTCGATGATGGGAGTTGTGCACAGAGCGTCCTTCCAATGCTCTGAGGAATCGGAATCTGATTGAAGAGGAAGGATAGAATGGTGCAGACGTTTCACTGTCACGTGCCCGTGCTGTTCAAAAGCTGTAATACTTTATGAAGTTGGCAGCTGTTGGTACTGGAAGTTAATAGAAGAAGCAAATAACTTAATTGAAGATGTTTCATAATTAGTGTGTGTTGTAACTTCTGAGCGCTCTGTGTAGGGTGTTGCTGAATTTAATGTCTTAATCCCTACTGTTTGATAGTGGTTTACTCTTACATCTGATATTTAAATTTTGTTCCCTTGGTCTTGAAATTGCTGGTAAGTGCTTAATGGCACTTATTTTTGAAAACAAAATCGCAGCAAACCTTGTTTTTGCTGGAGTTCATGTCCCCAAACCTTTAGTTTTCTTTAAAATATGGAGAAGATACACTTGAGGAAGGAATGTTCTTGTTTTGTTCTTTTTTTCCAAAAGAATTTCCTAGTGGAAGCCCAGGAACTGCACAAGATGGGCAGTCGTGGTAGGGGTGAGAAATAGAAAAAGAGGATGAGTGGCTTCCTTTGCATTTTTTTCTCTCTTGATCACAAAAGGTCACAGCAAAAGGCTGTACAGCGATTGTGCTGCATGCAGCTGCACTGGGTCCTTTTTGTTGGAGGTTCAGAGTTTTAACCTGTGATGAACCTGAAGGAATTGTAGCTTTGGCCCTGTGCTTCTTGGTTCTTGTTATGAAGTCCAATTCTTCATCCTGCAGCTTGAATAGATAATCTCTTTAGCAAAGTTTTCAGGATGGTACAACATTATCTGAGCTGGAAGAAATTCCATCTCTCAAGATAGCGTGCTAATGCACTATTAAGTGTAGTTTATATTTCTGTAGTTTGTCTAATGGCCTTTGAAAATTATGCAGTGATCTGTAATGCTCCAGAGGACACTTTTAATTTCAGTAGGATGTTCTCTGTGTTCTGTTTATGACTCTCTAGAGAAAACTCTTAAAAATCCTTTGTTGCCTTTGCCAAACTGTGTACCTGCAGCCATACTGCTGTGGCAATTCAATACAAGCCTGTATTCCTTCCTTCGCTGCCAGTTAAATCCTTCATGTTGATTCAGACACATTTCTTTTACTGTCTCTGCTGGCTTTGTAAAAATCAGTTTGAATGTGTTTTTTTTCTTGGAAGGTCTTGAGATAATTTTTTTATAGTGGCTGGTTTGTTTTGTTGAAGGAGAGCAGAATTAAAAGATATTTGTTAGCTGAGAACACTTGAGGTGTTTCACGACTAACACCGATAAACAACTCATTACAGACAAATTGAACAGTAGTTGAGGACTTCAGCAGTTATCATTAGTCACAGTGCAAGTTCCTGTGCTGTTTTCTGGAAGCCTTTTCAGCGGTGCTCCTGTGACCACGTAGAAAAGTTTGGCTGGCACTTCAGTGTGCTTGACCAGCGTGGGTTGGCAAGGTGCAGGACGCCGTCTGCCAAGTCTGTATCCCTGCTGACCTACCACCAAGGCTGCGCCTGCCAGGACTGTCATCCTTGACAGAGGATCTTTGTCAGAATTGCTGCTACTGATCCACCAACTATGAGGTAGTGTCTCTGAATTCTGGGTCAGTGGATGTCACAAACTGACAAATTTAGAATACTTCGCCATTCATTCATTCTGTGCAAGGGGGGAAAAAAAGCTTGCTGAATTACTATTGTCAGTGTCCCCTCCAAATCCTGTAGCTTTTGTAAACTTGTCACCATCTTAATGCAGTTCAGTTGGAATGGAAGTGTATACACTCACACACAACTTTATTTTTTTCCTATCTTTTAAAGCTTTATGAATGTCCGTAGCCCCTGCTTTCAGGCTTTTTGTTGGCAACTCACATATTTAGTGGCAGTGTTTAGGATTTTATTCTTGAATGAAGACCTTTACATGAGCAGCCGAATTTTTGTAAAGCTTTGTTAATTTCTGCATGTATTTTAGGGCGTTTGGAAAGTGTGTCCATAGGTATGACCATAAGTATGTCCAATTTTTCCCACTTCTTTTTTTCCCAGATGGAGTATTGAGTCCATTTTAAACATTGTTTGCTTGGCCTTGTCTACCAACAGTGGCATAAATTTTTGTTGTCACATGTAGTGAAATGTAACCATGTCCTTGTATGTGAATTTAATTGAGAAAGGGATGCCAGCTTGTAGTTATCTGCTGTGGTTACAGTAGATCCTGAATATCCTTAAAAATATGAGGCAGTGTGAGGGCTTGACTGTCAGAAGTACTTCCTATGATAGATGATGACATTTTTCAGCATAACGCTTCTGTTGGAAAATGCCAGTTAGCTGAGAGAGCAAATGTTTCTGGTGAAATACTTAGAAGAGGGATTCTGGTTCTTGGGTTGAGTTTGAAACTTTTGAGAACTGCGAAGTCGTGCAAGTAGAGCAGTTTCAGACACCAGGCCCATGCAGGCACGTGATTTTTCTTTTCTAAATGAATGTGTTAAGAAATAGGTACTACCTTTTTCCAGGCTTGGAAAGGCTGGTTTTTAGCTCCTTCTGACTCCCCCACTCTGTGTCACTCTTTAACTGTTTTTGTTGTGGTGCAAAATGAGTTTTCAACTTTCTATTCTTTGGTCACATTTTCTCCTGTGGTTTCCTTGGCATCGTTTGGAAATTGATATGCCTTTGAAATGCTGTGGGGTTCTAGTGAGCTCTTTGTATTTGGACCACTTTTGTGATACAGATCACTTATTATCACTTGTTCTATTTTATTTTTTTCAGTGAGTTATAAGAAGACTAAGAAAAACCGAAATCATCACCTTTGTTATCTGAGCTGCATGGTTTTTATGATATCAGTTCTGCCATGTACTTGCATTCATTACTTGCATCTTGGGCTTGGCCTCACCATTTTTGTTTCTTTGAAGAGTGCTGGTTAAATACTTCTCAGCTGACAAGAGTTACATGCTTCATTTTTTTTTTAAGCTGTGCTAGATGCTGTACAGATGTGGAAATGAACAAGTACTGTGTGAGAAAGTCATGTCTGAAGTTATAAATGCATTTTTTTTTGTTCGGGGAACCAGTCAGAGTTAATAAAATTTTTGAAGGTATCAGACAATTCTTTTCTGGTCTTGTTTACATGTATTATTAGTTAGAATGCATTGCCTTACGAGGCATGTTTAAAGCAAACAAGTCCTGTGCTAGTATAAAAGCAGCAGTGTTTCAGTCAACTGGATGTCCCCTTAGATACACAAGTCCAGTTCTGATGGAAATACCACAAGTTCCTTGTTGGTATCCTCCATAAAATCTCTTTTCATCTTTTACTTACCCCAGGGGACGTGAATTAAACAAATAGTTGATAATATTCTTAATGAGTAAGCTGTCGCATAGGATAATTAAAGGAAAATATTTTGTGTTCCAAAGCTGTGGTGATGGTTGGGAATTATTGCCCAAGTTCTTAAGTGTGACCTGAGGATTAATTTTAACCTTAGTATGCAGGGGAAAAATATGGAGCTAGTGCTTATACCATGTTTGTCCTCAAGAAAGGACTAATTTAATGCCATTGCATTTAAAAGGAAAAAAAAAGATCTGACTGAAACCAGGTGGACGTACCAGGTTGTGCTTTTGAACAGTTGTAAGAATGTACTGATGGCTGGATATATTGTAACAAGCTGTAATTGAGGGTTTTGAACTTTCTCTTTGTGCATGTGGGGTGTTGGTATGTGCGCGGACTTCAAACACTGAAGCATATCGAGGTTGAAGGGGTCAGTTTGGTTAGGCACAAAAACTGACTGCAAAACAGTTTGGACTGGCAAGTCTGAAGCAATTCTAATAAACTACCAATTGTGGGACTGGTTAGAAGGGCTGGTTTGTTTATGTTATGAAATTGAGTCTCCAAGCAGTTTCTAATCATGTGCAGTGAAGTTCAGCTTTCAGACTGAGTATGATGCTACAGGAAGCTTTCTTAATTTGCAAACAAGTAAATTAGGCTGGAAAAGAATAACACTTGTGCATTTGAAATGCACGCTTAGTGTTGACAGCAGGAAAGGAAGATAATGTAGTTGTTAACCAATTTATGCTTCTTATGGGGTGATGGACTACTTGATTAATGGTACTTAAAATTCAGATCTTGCAGCTGGGAAATTCTGTGTTTGGAATAGGAGGCAGTAGTCTAAGAGATGCTCAGAACTACCAGTATTGGTGAGCTGTGCTGTTAACTTGCTTTGTTTGTAGTTAGTTGGCTTGATGAGGCATTAAGAAGGGATTCACACAACTAGTTCTCTTCCATTTGCTCTACTCTTTAGTGGGAAGTATCAGCAATGTCTGCCCCAAAGTCTTAAGGGATGCAGCCCCCGCTACCTTTAGTTTCTATCCATTCAGATCCCCCTCGAGCCATCTCATGCAGTACTGTACTCTGCAACATGGTTTCCAACTAAGATTCTCATTCTACTTCCACCTAAGGAAGTTATTGCCTGCTGATTCTTGAGGTACAACAGTGTGAGCAATTTATGAGACACTATGAAGGGAAATGTCACTCTTCAAAGCATGTTTTTCTGCTCTCGCATCTTACAATGTTGTGCTGCTGGTAATGCATATGTCTAAAACCTAGGGAGAAATTGGTTGTAAATGTAGATGATCTGGTGAAGCTTGTAAACGTCATGATTATATAGAAAGCTGTCAGTCATGAGGTGCTGGGATTGTATCAAGTGCAAGTAAATGTTCCAAATGTGCTTTATGCACCTCATGTGGAAATGTTAAAACTCCTGAAGAGTTGTAGCTTCTATGTGAAAATGTTTTGATTCCTGTGCATAAATGCCCAAACCCATGCTTTGTGACCTTAAATGGCTCCAAAGAAGGGAAGACTTTGTCGACAAATAATTTATGAATCTTTTTAATACCATTCTGGTATTTTTTAATGAGAGAACTATAAGTCTTCAGTGTTTTTTGTTCCAAAACAAACTTCTCAAAGGCCTATGACGATGGTTTCAGTGTCACTTAGGCTTCTGGAAGCCTGTCAGCAGTTTGTTGCTGGGTTTCTTTTTCCCCACGCTGCTCTAGAGCAGGTAAAAATGCACTTCAGAAGAGTCTAGAAAGCAGCATGGGTGGCTGGTGTGAATTTGCTGCAAGCATTTGTATCATTTACAGCTTCTGCACTATCATTTTTCAGTGGTTGTATGTAGAATTGTTATTTTTTTTGTGAGGCTGCTTCAGGAATCCTTGTGCTGCTAGGCTTTGCGTTTGATCGGGATTCTGACTAACAGAAAGTTTTGAGAGCAGATTTTTTTCTTTAATTAATGTTTACAGAGACAAAGTCATTTCTCAAAATTCTCTTGACTTGCCCTACAAGTACCAGTTACTGTAGGGAATTGCTTTAGTAGAGCTATTGCAGCTTTCTTTGCTTCCAGTTAGCTTGTTTATTCTGAGTATAGTCGTGTGTAAATGATGTTGAAACGATATACAGCCTGCAAAATTTCATTCCTTGCTATTGCATGTCCTACTGCATTTGAAATACTGAAGGAAAGAAAAATGCACGTGATCATAGAAGATGGGGCAGTTGTAATGGAATAGATTAGCTGCAAGAGCTAAGAGGCGTTTATTGAAATGTCTTTGGAGCTTAACTTAACAGCAGGATTTCTGCCTCCATGCTTACAATTCTTTGAAAGCATACTTAGAAAACAGCAGTTTTTAATTGTCATCTCGTTGGCCTAAGATTCTAGGTGGGTTCATTTCCTTTGTAGGGGTGTGAGCAGCTTCTGAAATCTTGCAGCTATTGAATGTACCCAAGGCTTGGAAGTTATTTAATTGTGACCATAAACAGCTTTTACTTTTTAGAACGCTAAACTTTTATCACAGTAAAAGAATAAATTTAGTCTGGTTTTGGCCAAGTTTATCTCCCTTTATGTATTTCTGTTACTTTGAAGGGTGAAAAGGTTCTCATGTGGAACTATCCTAGGGAACTAAACCTACCTTGGAGGTTGGCCATGTCCTGATTTCTTCAGAAAGTCGGTGAAACATAATTTAAAAAAAAAATAAGAAAGCTTTTTTTCTTTTCATTTTTGCAGTGCCCTCTTCTAAGGACCAGGTGGGGCAGTGGGAAACATCAGACTTTTTAATTTCTCTTTGTTTTCATTGTGTTTGTTGCTATCTTCCGTTTCTTTCTGTATTACTGAAAAGCTGAAGAATCAAAGAAGTGCTGGTGGGGCTGAGCTAGGAGTGAAATAGGTGCATTGGTTTTTTTTTTCCTGTGAAAGGTTGGTTATAAAATTTCAAACCTGTACTCTTCATCACAGCTGAGTGTCTTTAGTTCTCTTCCCCACTTCCCTCACCTTCTGTGGCATAAAATCTGGAATGGTTGTATGTGGGACAGCATAAATGAGGCCCAGAGGGGTGTGCTGCATCTTTTATTGGAGCTGCTTACTATGTAGTTTGGTGTGGGCTTGAGCTCTCAGTGCAATACCAAAGTACAGTAAATGAGTAGGGTTAGTGAAAGCCTTTTTGTTCCTGTTATTCTTGTTAAGGTACCCATCCATGCCTTTAAGTGTGTTTTTAAATGTCTAAATGCTTGGAAAAGCCTTATCAGAAACTCAGTCAAAGGTGGGAAAAGATAGCCTTAATTAAATGCAGGAATCGAAGGGAAGCAGAGTAAAGGTTCACAGACCTTCATGTTAGCCCTTTTTCACTTATGTGCACATTTGGTGTTTCAGGGTCCATTAGGTTTTTTAATTCACCGCAGTTTATCAAAAGTTGAGAGACAATGTTGTTTGGCAGTTCTGTAGCAAGAAAGGAAGCATCTTTTGTTATTGACATCCTTTCTCTTAGCTCTGCTCTTGCTTTTTGCCAGCTGCTCATTGTCTATACTTGCTTATTTAGTATTCACAAGAGATTTTACAAGTTCTTATCAGCTCTTTGCCACAGGACATCATTTCCTCTTGTCATCGTTACTCCTTAATTTGGGAGGGGGGATGGTGTGTGAAGGGTGTACAGGAGAGCCGGTGAGTGGCAAAAACACCATTCATGAATCTGCTTGGGGTGCACAGCCTTGTTTTGTTTCTTCTCTCCTTTCTAAGGCAGTTCATAGCAAAGGTCACATATCCAGTGCTTGCTCTGCCGTGCTCCCCCCTGCTCTTTTCTGGGGAAAGGAAAACGATTTTTTTTATTTTTTTTATATTTTTTTTGCCAAAAGCTAAAAATATCCAGTGCTTCAAATATTCTTCTTAGAAGATATAAGGAAGTGCAGCGTAAAAATAGCTGTAGCTGAAAAGATTGGCCGCAGTTCTGAATGGCTCAGAAGGGATTGATTTGGGGGGCTTCATGCTCTTTAAAAATGATGGAGTATCTAATTTGAGCTCAGGTATTTGAGCTGTAGTGTTTTCTCCTTTTCAGAAATAAAGATCTATTTGTAAGGCTGATTACTTCTCTGAAGCAGTGTCTGTGGATCCTGCTGCTTCCACCATGACTTCTGCTTGTTTCTGGTAGCAGCTTTGTATCTTCAGGTGAAGCTCTGTGATATAAGACAAATATCTTAAAGCAGGTTTCCTGTTTGTTTTCAGCTCCTTTCGGAGTTTCCTTCTGAAGAAGTGTTTGGACATTAATGTTGACAGAAGCCATGCAGTCTCTTTGATCCTCTAAATGTCTCTTTTCTCACCTATTAGAGATGAATAGATGGGAACTCTGGTAATGTTTTCCTATATTCAGCTTTAGGCAGAGATTCTAGTAGGTTAGGAGGTTTGTTACGACAACTAGAGTTAAAGTGAGCATTCTTCTAATAGTATCTTTTTTTTGTTCTACGTTATTATTTACTTGTTTACTAATTGCTTGTTTACTTGTCTTCTTGATAGAGCTAAGTTGGAAGAGTTGATTGTTATTTTTGAAGTGAAGACTTCATCACTGACGTCTATATGTTTATTTGTCAGCGTCCAAGAAGTAATACAGCTTACCAGTGGCAATAACTGCCTTTGGTATACACTGACATTTATTTGAAAACAAGAATTAACAAAAAAAAGGCAAAACCCAACGAGTCTTTTGAAGACGTGTGTCAAATGACGTCAATGGCCAGTTTGTTCTCCTTTACTAGCCCAGCTGTAAAGCGTCTGTTGGGCTGGAAACAAGGAGATGAAGAGGAAAAATGGGCAGAAAAAGCTGTCGATGCTTTGGTAAAAAAGCTGAAAAAGAAAAAAGGTGCTATGGAAGAACTGGAGAAAGCTTTGAGCAGTCCAGGACAGCCCAGCAAGTGTGTTACCATCCCTCGTTCTTTAGATGGACGACTTCAGGTTTCTCACAGAAAAGGCCTTCCCCACGTAATTTACTGTCGTGTCTGGCGTTGGCCTGATCTACAAAGCCATCACGAGCTGAAGCCATTGGATATTTGTGAGTTTCCTTTTGGATCTAAACAGAAGGAAGTCTGCATCAATCCTTACCACTATAAGAGGGTGGAGAGCCCAGGTATGTTTGAGCGTGGCTATCAAAAAAACAAATAAAATCCCCAGGAATCACATGTTCTTTGCATCAGTACCATACGATTAACCTAACTTGGTGTATGAGGAGGTTTGGAAGAATAACATCTTCAAAAGTGAATTTTTTCTTCTGAGGTTATGGTGAGACGTTGTCCATTCCATACCAGCTGTTTTTCCTTATGGTAAAGCATGGCTTTCCCACAGATCTTTAAAGACTGCTACCTGTAAAGTTAGTGGCAAAGTCCTCATTTGCAATAAAGAAGGAAGGCAGTGATCAAAAGTCTCTGCATCTCTGTTGCAACTGACTGTTGTCTGCACGTGCTTTAGCACTTGAAGTCTGAATTCCAGACTTCGGTACTCCTGAATTTGAAGGTTGAAATCCCAATTTAGCAATACTTACGTATTGTATTATATATATATATATATATATATATATATATATATTTTGTCTTCAATGAAAAGGTTTAGATGTAGCTGTGTAGTTTGACTAGTAATATGGACTGAATTTCCATCTGTACTGCTTTTGTAATACGCAGAGTGGGTTTTACACTTCTAAACCAGTAGTTTATTGTGCACTACATGTGAACTGCTTTGGTGTTTTGTAATTTAAAAAGTTGCTCTCAATTGCATGAAATGTAAGTGTATTTCTGCTCTGTTTTTCTGCAAGATTGCAGTGTTAGTCCTTCATACAGAGAGAGGGGTTGGTGGTACAACAGATTAATGCTTTCCTCCATGCACATTGGTATTGAAATTTTCATGGTGAGCAAAATTGCACGTTGTTTATATCCTTTTCCTTCTATCTAAGTGGTTTGTTTGGTTGGGTTTTTTTGTTTGTTTTCCAGTTCTACCTCCAGTGTTAGTGCCTAGACACAGTGAATTCAATCCACAGCACAGTCTACTCGTTCAGTTCAGGAACCTAAGCCACAATGAACCACACATGCCACATAATGCGACGTTTCCAGATTCCTTCCAGCAGCCCAACAGCACTCCATTTTCCATTTCACCAAACAGTCCCTATCCACCTTCTCCAGCCAGCAGCACTTACCCAAGCTCCCCAGCTAGCTCTGGACCATCTAGTCCATTTCAGCTACCTGGTAAGTACAGCCTAAATGTGAACTTAATGGAGAGATTTTATTGCAGTACTTAGCTGCTGTGATACTTACAATAAATTGCTTTGTTTGCATTTTAAGGAATTTTAATCCTAGTTTTGTTGCTGGTCGGAGTTGACTGTCATTGTTTTGTCTTTCCAAACGTTCTCTGTCATGTATACTGTAGTAGTAAAATACTTTGCACAGCTTCAATATAAGATAATTGATGTGTGCTTTAGAAGAACATCTAGCAATGAGAGAAAGCAGATGGAACAGTCCAAGCAGAAAGTTTATTAATATTCTTCTCTGGAGAATACCTAAATATAGCATTTAACTGAAATAAAAAATAATTCTCAATAGGAGACTTAAATACTTTGAAAATAATGGTGGGTGGGAACTAAATGGAAAGAGCAAAGGAAAGAAGGTCTTGAATCTGCCTGGTTATTGCTGTGATTTATAAAGCTGAGAAGGTAAAGGATTAAAGAATACATTTTTGCAGGAGCTCAGAGGCCTTGTTAGTGTCCATTCTACATAGTATCCCTCCTCTTGTTGTGTGCAGCTTCCTGCAGACCAGGTGTTTTAACCTCTCTTGTTGAAGGCTGTTTTACTGTGTTTACAACTCAGCTGTAAAGCGCAGAAATAAATAGTCTACGTTGTTGAGGTTTATTTGCTCTTTTTTTTTCTCTTGTGTGTAGCTGATACTCCACCTCCTGCATATATGCCCCCTGATGATCAAATGGGGCAGGATAACTCTCAGTCTATGGACACAAGCAATACAATGATCCCTCAAATCATGCCAAATATATCTACCAGAGGTAAGTTGTATAGTATGATGCAGAAGTAACCTTGTTTGGCTTCTTAATGCTCGTAATCAAATTGAATGTATAACTTCAAATGGTGCAGTAAATCTGTGCTGGTAAATTGAAGCAGTACAAAACAAAAAAGGATTTGCAACAGCAAGAACTAAGAAACAAAATTTGCTGTGCTCATCTGCCTCTTGCTTTTAATGTGTAATGTGGCTTAGTGTAAGTTGAACTTTTTCATTTGCTGCTATTTTTACCTGCTGTCAGAATTGTATATGCACAAGGGCTCTGAAAATTATGACCCAAAATACCAATAATTAAAAAAAAATTGAAAATGAAAATGTAGACAGAAGAATCATGTGTCACCTGATATCACAGTCATCTGAATCTTTTGTGTAGGATTTTCTTTTTGCTTAATATCTGCCTTAAAACAGGAAAACAAAATCAATGGTCTAGCAGAAATGTGTGAAAGTAAGTTAAAATCATTAAGATTTTAATCAAGACTTGCTCTTGCCCATCATAAATACTGACCAAGTTGTTACTTACCTATTGGTATTTTGAAATGCTTACAGTTTCAGATGTGATGTGTTAAATTTTATGTAAACTGCCATTTCCATTTTGCTTGTTTTCAGATGTTCAGCCTGTTGCCTATGAAGAACCCAAACACTGGTGTTCGATTGTGTATTACGAATTGAACAATCGTGTTGGGGAGGCCTTTCATGCATCTTCTACAAGTGTCTTAGTAGATGGGTTTACAGATCCCTCCAATAATAAAAACAGGTTCTGCTTAGGTTTGCTCTCAAATGTTAATCGCAACTCAACCATTGAGAACACTAGACGACATATTGGGAAAGGTGAAGTTTCATTCTGTTTTGTACACTTACAAAGTTAATCCTTGCTTTTACTGTTACTGGTTTTATTTATGAGTAGTCATTGTAGCGTAGTGCAGAGATATTGAAACAGTTTGTGATTTATCTTCCTCTCTAATATCTGAAGATATTTTTTCCCTGTGGATTGGTTCTCATCGATCTAGGAGTTGCATATGTCTTTTTCTTTAGCAGTAATGTAAGAAAGTACTTGTGTTTACAAACTGTTGTTGTAGGGGCTTTTTTGTTACAGTCAGTGATACTCTGTATGTAGAAAGCTTTATTTCAGCACCGACAAACGCACAGGACTTCTGAAATCCTGTATCTTCTGCTTAAACACTTCATGCTGCTTTAGAGTGTATCAGAGTGCTGGTTCTTCTGTTCATGGAGCATATTACACTGCTGTCTGCAGTATGTTAATATCTTGCATAAGTTGGCAGCGAGACTTTGAAGTGCTAATGTAAAACTGCAAGGGCTCATTTGTCTGAGTGAATCCATGGGTGTGTTTGTGTGTGGGAGGGATTCCTGGAGACAGCAGGTTGTGCAGGATCTTCTAGTTTTCCCATAATGTTTGGCTGATAGCACGTAGAGATGCACAGTGTTCATCTTTGATGGAATGTGCTTGAATTATCTTAAAATGCAGTGCTCCTTTTCTGAGTACCTCCTTTTTCATAATTAACTAAGTCCTTGAGAAGAAAACCTGCCTTCTCTTGCATGTATGAGACATTTTTTAGCACATAAAATCATTTGTTATGTTTGAACTCCTGTTTTCTTGATACAACTCACTATTACTGATACTGCTGAACTTCAAGGCTTGTAATGTCTCTTAGAAGGCTTTTAGGTAGAAATTAAGCATGGCAAAAAATTGCAGTTGTTCTGGAACCAAATGCACCTTAATATTTGTTAGAATATCAAAGTAGATGCAGTTCCGTTGTCTGAGAAAAGGAAATGGTATCAAGTGAGAACAGCAGACTTTTGGGAGCTGAATGGAGGTAGGGGAAAAGCTGTGTGAGCTTCTTTTGGTTTGAGTCACTGCTGTGGCTGATACTAGTGGACAAATGTTACGTATCCACTGGAGAAGGTAATAAATCTAAATTAGATCCAAAATCTTGTGGAGTATTGATCTCAAGAAAATCTGGAGCTTTAAAATGTCTGTGTGTTTAGTACTAATTATTAATCTAAAGCTTTGCTTTACAGTAGCAATTCTGAGTACAATTAAGATTGTTTTGGTATACAATATTATTTGTTTATGGCTTTTGTTTGGAGAATCTTATGATTTTTTTTGCTTCTTTAAAGTTACTTGCTTCTAATTTCTCAGCTTTTTCTGCAGAAGTATTGCATTGCAGGAGTAAATGACCTCTAATTATACACTGGATTATTTTTGAATTACCAGTATTCTTCTCAGACTGCTGGATGTATCTTGCTTCTTTTTAGCTCCCCCAGTAGGCTTATACCCAAAAGAATTTAGCAGCAGGTGGTAGTTGCCCTTGTCTCTTTAAATAAACACGATTGTGTAGTGAAAATGTGTTTTTGCACACCCCAGATTTTCTGCCAGCTGCTTATAGTAGGTCAAGCCAGTGGTTCCTCTGGGTGAACTTTGTCCCACCTTAGTCCCAAGTGGATCTAGCAGTGTTCACAACAGTTGTTGCTGTCTGAAAGATCAGCTGGCATCTGTTGACTTGCTGGAGCCTCGTATGGCAAAGCATGGAGCAGTCAGCAGGGCATTTCAGAAAGCTTACCAAAGTGAGCCGCATCTCAGGTGTGTGACTGTGACGGGTGGAGGAAAGGGAGAAGGTCTGGCAGAAAGAAGGCAGGAATCTCAACTGAAGTACCAGTGAGAGTCTGTGTTTGAGCACTGAAGGGATCAGTGGGTGGCTTTTATAAGTGTTGAATAAGATGTAGTGCTCTAGTAAGCCATTCATAACAGAGGAGGGAATAATTTATATGCATAGCTGAATGCAGACAGTGGTGACAAATCTAGGGCCTCCCTTGATTTTTAAGGTCTGTAAATCCTGATATTGGTTAAGTTGTCCAGGTGGTTGGACGTGCATCTTTTTTTGCTTGATAAAACGTGCCAAAAAAGTGAGCAGGCTGCAGACACACTTTCACATTTGTGTTTATCCCTGCTGCTGAGAATTTCGTTGGAATTCCCATAGGCGGAAGTTACCAGTTTATAAAGCTGCAGTTTTAAAATCTGCCTGAATTCTCTAGGAAACTGGCTTGGAGTAACTGTTGGTGTGTGGAAGTAGGATTTTTTTTGTCTCTTCTGTAATTGACGAGAGAAGGACATCTAGTGGTTGATGTGTAATGAAGCTTGTATTTTGAAATGAGAAACTGTTACCCTGTGGGCATAAGACAAAACAGCTTTTCTGAAAAGCTCTTCAGACAGAAAACTGAGTTGCCTCTGATTTCAAGGGGATTGTATTAAGTACTGTATTTTTGGAGGGGAAAAAAAATTAATGCTTTTCTCAAACTTTGTTTTCAAGGAGTTCATCTCTACTATGTTGGTGGGGAAGTCTATGCTGAGTGTTTAAGTGACAGCAGCATATTTGTACAGAGCAGGAACTGCAACTACCACCACGGCTTTCATCCAACAACTGTATGCAAGATTCCTAGTGGATGCAGCCTGAAAATCTTTAACAATCAGGAATTTGCTCAGCTTTTAGCTCAGTCTGTCAACCATGGATTTGAAGCAGTGTATGAGCTCACCAAAATGTGCACCATTCGAATGAGTTTTGTAAAGGTAAACAAATTATTTTGAGAGGCATTTAAGCTTACTGTGGATTTCAGTACTCAGCAGACTGTGCCAATGTAACAAAGCTATTTTGACCTCATACGAGTCTTTTCAATTTAAAATATAATGGGAAGGTTAATTATGGAAAGGGAAATCGATGCAAGAAAAGCACAGCTTGTCTTGTTAACGATTGCCTGTATTTACTTCAGTATTCAGGACATGATTTTAATCATTGTAGCTACTGTTAAATTACGAAGGGAGGTCTGGACTTGTGCACTGAAGTTGAATGAGCAAAGCTAGCTAACTACACAACCCCTAAAAAAACCAGTGTGGGTAACGAGGAGCATAAGTGATTACAGAATAGATGTTCAAACTTTAGACACTTCATATAAATAAAGATACATACCTGCATTTTCAACATGGAGAAAATACACTGTTTAACAGAACAGTTTGACATTACAGATTTATTCTCATAGTAGTGTTTCCTCAAATTGGCTGCCAGTTTCAGATTTAGCTTGAAGTTCAGGCTTGTGCCATCCAGATTTTTTGTCTGTTGGTTTTTTTCATCTTGTCCAAAAAGAAAGCTTGAAATGATGTGTTCAGAGTTAAAGTGAAGTGTACTAGGAAGTCTTTATACCACAGATATAAATAGACTTGTTGAAGTCAGTACAAATCACTAGATCTTGCCTCAGGGTACCCCAGCTGTTAAATACTGAGTATACAACGAGCTGCTTTTCTGAAATTGTTGAAATTTTATCTTGCCAATTGTGATAAATGCTGTTCAGATGGAGTGTGTGGAGGAAGAAGTGGAAAAGAACTGTAGCTAAATCGAGGAACCGCTTTGGAGTCAGCAGCCTGCTCTCCAAAGGAACTTGGATGGTGATGCTGGGCCTCTAGCAGGGAGGACTTGATTGAGGCTTCTGAGTGCAGCTTCTCCGCCACTCCTTTCTGACCTGCTGATTTTTGTTTTCTTGAGATGATAAGAATTGTTTAGATTTTGAGTTAACTTCAGATAAATTCCTTAGATGATGACTCTCTGCTAGTTGTCAGTACAGTTATTTCTAGATGCAGGCATGTTTTCTTGATTGATAACGTGGTGTTCATTTTTTGTAGGGGTGGGGAGCTGAGTATCACCGACAAGATGTCACGAGCACCCCGTGCTGGATAGAAATTCATCTTCATGGGCCCCTCCAGTGGCTGGATAAAGTACTTACACAAATGGGTTCTCCTCTTAATCCCATTTCATCTGTTTCATAGTGTTGAAATTCCATCTTCAGCCTTATTTTTAGTGAACTTATTCTAATTCTAGAGAAATTTCCAGCGTGGATACTGTGAGCTATATGGAGAATGGATCTTATGGTTTTACTTTCTTTTTTTTTTTTAAATCCCTTTGTGACCAATTCCATTGTGTATAGCTGAGCAGTTTTACATTTCAATTTGTTCTTGTGATGCTTAAGTGACAGTTGAGCCCTAAGGGAAAAAAAAAAAAAAAAAAAAAAAATCTATTGGAAAAATTCAGAACGCTTTTCCCCTCCTTGGAGTAGAATTTAAACAGGCATATGTCTTAACTGGAAATTATTTTTTGTCCTGTAGGGGCAGAATGATGAAGACTGACTTCAGAAAATAAATACATATCATAGTTCGTTGTTTTTTTTTAATGTTTATAAAAACGTTTGAACATGTGCAGCTCCAGCTTGCAAGCTGTATTTTTAGTGTAGTTGCTTAACAAATTAAGTTTGACATCTGTCATAAAGAAAATTAGGCTTTATTATGGCTAATTTGCCTAATTGAACAATGTGACTTTCTTTAAATGTACACATGAAATATACTTTTTACAAATGTCGGAGTGGTGTAAAAACACTTTGTCTATTGGAAAATGCTGTCATAAACACATTGTATATGAATGCAGAATAGCAGTTCTTAGTCTTTTCCCACTTCAGTTTTGTACTATTGCTTTTAACCACCATTTTAAATAGTAACTGATACAAGGTAAACATCTTGCACGTTTCTGGAGTAGTGATTTTTGTTTTTCTTTGACTTACACTCATGCCATTTGGATGTGGTTGCCAAGGCCTATTTCTTTTTAGGTACCCTGCTCTATTTTAACATAAACACTACTAGTATTTGTAAATGGCAGTGCCTTGCTATTTTTTCGAAGGAGTAAGTTGTTTTTTTAATTTTCTTTTTGGTGTTTTAGCTGTTTATTTTGCCTGTCTGGAATTGATCTGTGTTAAGCCTTTTAATCTCTCAGTAGTCATTATGCAGTATTAGTGATTACACTGTATTTAATTCACTTTCAGTATGAGTTTGAGTCTCTTTGAAGGCTGCGAGTGGCTTAGCAAATTAGTAAATGAATGCAGAAGCTCTTCCTTCCAGATCATGTAATTTAATACAGGCCTGTTGTTAATGACCAAAAGCAATCACTTCTTTTGTAGACTAACAGTGATTCTTGAGCCTGTTCTTAGCGACAGGTGTTCGGTCAGAATACTTGTAATTGGCAGCTTTATGGAAATCAAGGACTGCATTAGTATGAAATGTATCTTTTTGTAAGGAATTACGTTGCCTCTGCTGTTGTATTACTCAAACACTGTACTAAACACTAAAAGAAATCAGCTCAGTAACATACGCGTAGTTTTTCCCCTGTAAAAGTAAAAACAATTGAAGGAACATTCTAAGAGAATTAGAAGTGAGTTATACAAAATCCATTTGCATGCAGAAAAAGACCTACTGTTAGTTTTAACTCCTCCATTTTCCTGGATATCTTTTCAGGACAGGGTGCAGTGTCTGGGGGAGAGACTGAAACCTCTGAAATGCAAACACTTATTAAAAGATGTGCTGCAGTTAACTACTGCAATCCTGAGATGTTGATTGCTTACACAACTTCTTTTGTCTTCTATTGAATGACAGTTTCTGCTCAAATGTGGAAATCATGCATTATATGGTACCTGAGTAAGAGGTCATAAAGGAAAAAAACTGTTTACGTGTCATTAAAATGTTTCTTATGAAATGCCTTAAAGGAATAAACTGTAACACTTCTGCAGAACCCTCATGTTCTCTTGTACAGGTATTTCTGTAGTACTTGGTGATTTTTATTGTTGGTTTGTTGTCTTTTTTTGTTGTTGTTCTTGTTGGTTGTTTCTTTTTTTAAAGCAATTTCTTCAATGTGTGTTAAAGCGAATGTGCATCTTCAGGAGAAGGGAGGAAAACAATATTTGCCACTCACTTCTGGGGTCTTCTCTTTCATTCTTCGAAACAGCAACCCTGTTGACTGAATAAGATGCAAAGTCACTTGGCCACAGGATCAGGCTTCCCATTTTCCTCTCCCCGGGCCCGACTTCTATCAAGTTGCTGAATATGTATATTTGACACTACGGATATTTTTCTTGACGAGCTTTTAAAATGAATGTCTTGGCACATTGGATCAAAGAAAGATCTCAGTTGTAGGTACAAGCTTCTGCTTTATCCAAAATGTTTTTCACCCGGCTTCACCTCCGCTCACTTGTTTGGATGCGGCTGACTAAAGGACTGAAGAATGGGCGCTGGAAGTAGGTGTTTGCAAGTCAGAGCTGCTGTATTGTGGTTAGATTGGCTACCCATGCAATGAAGCATAATTTCTGCAGTGCTCTCTAGCTAACCCACTTCTGATGCTGTCATTAAGTATTAAAGTACTCTGGCATTTCTGTGCTTGTGTACATACTCTTGATCTGTAATATATGCAGTGCTGAGGTTATCCTTGCGGCTGCTGATTTTGCCAGGGCAGGCTTGCAGGAGCAGACCAAGTAAACGATTTGCCTACGCTCTGCTTTTCTGTTCTTTTTAAGTAGGACTTATTTTTGAGAGCTTCTTGGTTGATGTGCCTACTGGTTCATGGTGTTCCTGATCGCATTTGGTTTGTCTGTGCTGCCGATGGAAAGGTGAGATAGTGCTGCATGGATAAGTTGGATGAGAACTGTTTGACACTAATTACGTTTTAAGTGTAGTGATAACAGAGATTGCTGCTTCTGTCGCAGCGTGCTTGTGTGTAAGTCACTTTATCTAGATGGAGGGATGGAGAAATGAAATCAGCCAGTAGCGTGGTAGTGGAAGATGAAGCATTATATATAGCCCAGCTTAGACTAAGTGTTGCTCTGCAGCAAAAACTGTTTTGGCTTTTATAAGTGTAAGTATTTTCTTCTTTTAAGGCCTGTTTCTACTTACAATCAAACACAGCACTAATTAACAGCTTTGACAAGACCAGCAAGGAGCCTGGAACAGGCATACACTGAAGTTCTTTCTGGGTTTCCTTTCATAGTCACTAAGATAAGATCTGATCTTGGATATTCCTCCTCTGTGGGCATCAGTCTTGCTGGCAGTCAGACCAGCGCCTTGTGGAAGTATTGCATTCGTTTCATTACATCAGACATCAGATAGTTACTCATGGAGGGCTGGTGTTGGTTTATCGTATCTATAGGACCAAAATAAAGCTTCTAGTATGGCTGACTGATGAGAGACAATTAACAAAACATCCCATTAACTGAAACAGTGACGGAGTGGCCTACACACTGATTCTGTGTAGAGCTGTTTAAAATACTGGAATGCTTTCATTTTTTGCATGAAGCTATGGCTTTTTTTTCCCACAGTATTACAGTGTGTAAGTTGTCAGTTGGGCAGATACTCTTAGAGTGTACATCCAGACAGACATTGAAATATTTCAAGCTTTCCCTTTAGTTTGAAATGTTTTGGGGTTTTTTTGTATATTGTTTTAGTTATCCAAAGTACAGCTAGTGATGGTCTTAAAACAACAAAGCAGTTTCTAAACGTTTTGCTTCAGAAGACAAATGTGACTTTTTGTGGTTGTGAAGTTGCTGTTTAGGAAGGAAACCCATCCTGAATTCGAATCAATAGACCAAACCATCAGATCACAACGTTAACTTGCTTTATTGTGCTGCTCCATAAGCCTGCTTCTGTGTTTGTTGCAAGCATAACCTTTATGCTTTTGTTTACATTGTAGGAAACACAGTTCTAGTGATGAGGTTTTTCATTTAACTCTAAACATCTTTTTATTTTGTTAATTTTAAAATTACTAGGTTTTGCTATGTTATGTTTTTAAAGATTTTTTTTTTTTTGCATTCTGCTGCTCGTATTTCAATAAACATACAAAAAAAAACCAACAGATTTTTTTCTGATTTTCTTCTTCTCTATCTCATTATGTGCTGAAGAACTTATTTACAAGTGTTGGTTTATGGTGAGTTCTTGTAACTCTCCAGCAGAGTTTTTTTCCTACAGATGTGCAGTGAATGGTTACGTCTCTGTGAGTAGCTAGCTGAAACAACCATGGAATTGCTCTTTGCTCTGTTTTGGTGTGGAGGATTGGGGGGGAGGGTTAATATTTCTTTGTTTTAAAAGCAGAAAAGCTTTGGGCAAATCCCAGCTCCTGTAGCCACCATTTTGCATTGTGTGTTATAAATGAGTCAGAGGCTCCTTCTGTTCGCTGTATGCAGAGACAAATGCAAATACCTACCTGGCTTTTAAAGCAATAACAAAGCAATAAGGTGTTGGGTGTCGTATGCTGGGCCAAGAGAAATGTGCCTGCCTTGCCTGGAGTGCTCTGTCCTGGTGATCCAAGGACCATCCATTCCCTGACTTCTTCCCAAGGAATTCTGCTTGCCTAGAAGAGCTGTTGCAAAGAAACTACTTTTGCTGCAGGTGTTCAGGTGCGTTAGTGCTGCTGATGATCCATCTGGGGGGACGTGGGTCATAAAGAACATCTCTGAAGTTTTATACGGAAGCCAAGTAAGGTGGAATCAATGAAGTTTGTTTAGGGAGCTCGCCACTTTAATGACATACTTGTATCACTGAATTCTGCCTTTTACTGGTGATGTGAGCTGTGTGTTTGTGACAATGATTGCGTGATGGAGTGGGGCAAATTAGAGCAGAATCAGTGCTAGTTTATTCCACCTGCCGTTGTTAGAAAGCTCTGCTGTGTGTATCTACTGTGTTCTCCAGATACTGTAGTATAGAAAAAAAAAACTTGGACTGCATGATGATGACGCTGGCTCCAATCCTGAATTCTTAAACACTGTTAATCTTCTGACTTGCGCAGAGCCAGCTGTCTTCTGTGCGCACTAAGGCATTTGTAACAAGTCCCAAAGTACCTGTAAATTGCCAGCCACTCAGCTATGTGTACATGCTTTTAGGTACTGCATCATCTTACTGCTTGATTAGTATTGGCAGGAGGAGTTTGTGCTCATGGGTGCTCTGCAATTCAGCCAGCATTGGCACTTTGTGTTGATAACATTCAACACAATCATTCCCCTCAAGTTTTGGATAGCTGCGTATAAACTTCTAAGCAAAGAAATGTCATCCTGTGCGTTTTTATCATACAGGAGGGGCAGAGATGGTTGTCTGTAGCTCAGTGCTGTGGATTTTCACTCCAGCTGCTGGCACGTGCAGTAGGAAGCAGAGGAGTAGCTTATCTGGACTGATAAACGCAGCCTGCTTGAGCTATGGAGAGGAGGGGCAACATTTGTGCCATCTGCCTTGCATCTGCCCCTAGACCTCCCAGTGTGCTGTGGGAACAACAGAAATCTGAAACTTGGAAAACAATTGCTGCCTAAAGGGCGTGAGGCCATTGCATAAACTGCTGAAATCCACGTGGAGCGCTGATGCCTTGTTTCTGCTTCCAGGTACTTCAATCAGGCATCCTTTTTGGTGGCTTTCCAGTTCCTGCACGTCACAACTGGTGCCCTTTAGGCTTTCAAAAACAGCATTTCCCCTTTTCCTCCTTTTATGTGTTGTGCTCTTGCCACGTGAAGACAACAGCTGTGCTGTCCACGCAGCGTAGGACACTTCTCTGCAGAACACCCACATGGTGGAATTGCTGATACGCTGGGGACAATGGCGTATCGTGCCTTGAGGATGGGTTACTTAGTTTTTGCAGGTGGACTGAAACATGCAGCCTGGTTTTTTTTTCTGTCCTATATTTCTGTATTTAGTCTTTAGTATTTTCCTTTTAAACTAACTATCCAGAGAGACCTCCAGAGTGCAGTGCAGAGGAGCTACTCTCATGGTGCCTGGTAAGAAGGCAGCCTTCAGCTGATTGAGTTCTAGTAGTGCTTTTGTATTAAAAGAGGGAGCAGGCCTTAAAAGAAAACTTGGCCTGTGCACCAACATAAAATACCCATGTGAGACACGCTTCAGCATTTTACAACTTCCAGGCAGTTTGCATCAAATTCTTCTTTGAATACATTCTCGTTAACTGCCTTATAGGGCCCTATGTTCAAACGTGCTGTAAAAATACTTCTGTAAACAACATACTTTATTTTTTATTTTTTTTTTAGCTCTGAGTGCAAGCACAAGAGAAGGTCTGGATTGCTATCCTGTTAGTTCTGCTGTTCTCTGCTTCTCAAGGTGCGTTGGAGGCTGCAGATTCGTTGGCTGGTAAATGCTGTTGGAGGGCAATAGGGATCCAGGTGAAAGCAAAATATTCCTTCCAAAAATCAGGAGGCAGGAAATCCAGAGTCCACAGATATGTCAGGCAGCATGCTTATTTTTGCTGTTTTTAATCCCTTCGCTGCTGTCTTAAACTTGTGCTCTATTGACAGATGGCCAGAAGCCAGCAGCACAACTGCCCTGTGTCCTGATTTGTGGTGAGGTGCTTATACCTGATGCAGTGCATGGCTGGGCAAACTGCAGTGAGCAGCTGTGCATGGATGTCTCTGGAAGGAGCTGTAAGCCACTAGAAATATTCCATGGAACTCAAGAAATGAAGATGGTTCCATTAAAAAAAAAAAAAAAGAGAGAGAGGCACAGTATTCTTATTTATTCAATACATTCTGATGTGCTAGCTGCTGTGTTACTATGGATGTGTATGATGGAAAGACTGCTAATGGGACAGAGCGGGTGTCTGTAGGGCTGGTTTATCGCTGGTCTGTCAGTCTGTATTTAATTCTTGGACTCCTTGTGTTGCCTGGCTGCTGTCAGAAGGATTTTCAGAGGTGCTGTGCTGGAGGCAGCGAAGCAGAAGGCAGCAGTCAGGGTGCTCACGGACTACCAGGTGTCCATCTGCCTCCTGCTTGAGGTCGGAGGTGGGTTTGGTAGGACAAAGCCTCTGCTCAAGGAGTGCTCTGAGCAGCTCTAGGGCAGGGGGCTGCTTGTGCAGTGATGGTGTCATAAAAATTCTGTGGGTCCCTTACTGTGTGCTGGCAACATAAGAAGTCTCATACAGCAGCTGGTTTAGATTGCAGTGGTCCTTGCAGGCAGCCATTCTTTGTTCTGCCCCTCTGTAGCCCCTTGCCTTTACTAAGAGGAGGCAGGTTACGCTCCAGTGTTGGCAGTGATATTTAGTAGCAGATTGGTATCTTTGGAGATGGAGAGGATAAATGGCGTCTCCTCCTCTTTTTCCCCCCGTAAAACATTTGGGGAGGGGGGGGGAACCAACAAAATAACAAACCTGACAGCTCTGTTATTCTAAGAACAGGAGTTTTCTTCTTTATAGACTTTTTCCATTCTCTTTTTGAAGTTGTACCTCTCCTGTTGTAAACAACGTGGTTATTTCTAGGTCTAAATAAGAAACGCTGTGTAATACAGTCATTCCTGTGAAATCTCATTTTCTGAAGCCTCTTAGACCCAGGGATGGCTCTCAGCAAACGTACCAGCCTCTCAGAAACCTCGAGCTGTGGGAATGAGATAGATTCAGCTGGAATGGAGAAGTTGTAGGGATAATGCAAGACAAAATAAACCCTTTTCTGTAAAAACCACATAGAGAATCTGAAGTGTTCTGTAAGAGATTGGTGTTGCAGTCCTGGAAGGTCAGAAGGGAACAGATTTTGTCCATGGTTGTGCCATAATGCTGGGCTCAGCCCTGTGTGTTGGGATGGGGCATTGCTGGGAGGGTAAAGAGGGAGAGGGAAGGAAAAAACTTGGAAAAACACAAGTGTAACCTCCTGTTTAAGAGACTTTCTGTTAGGATTAGCAGATGTAAAGCAAACTTATCTGCTTATATGTGAAGTACGTGGTATAAGCTCAGGATCTTGAGTTAAGGAGAGGAAGAGAGCAAATGCCAAATGCCCAATTCGAGATATCTTTCTCTTTTCAGTCTGATCTCTCTGCTGATGTTTTAAATGTTTCAAGTACCTTGTGGAAAAGGCTGGGAAATCAAGATTGTGCTCTACCCAACTCTTCTTTGGAATCCCTCTTTATAAGCTTGGAAAGCAAGGAAAAGAAATGCCTTGGTAGATAGGAGTGTAACTGCAAAGCAACTATTAAATTCTCACTGTTCTTGGCATTCGCTCATGGCTTTGTGCCAGTCCCCAGCCTCCCTCCTTTTCTCCTCCCAATGAAAAGCTTCATCTTTCCTAATGAAAGCTGAGTTGAGGAGCCCTGTGGTGGTGATTCCTGTCTTCAAGTGATGTCCTGGGATGAGAGCTCTTCATTTCTCTTGAAGACGCTACTAGACTCAAACTCATTAGCGCAAGTACCGTAACGAATTGGTGGGACTATCGTGGTTTGACACCAATTAGGAGAGCGCGGTCATGCAACACAGCCCTGCAGTTTGCTTTACCATGCAGCACCAACCTGAGGCATCCTTAATAGAAGTGAGGTACTTAGATTTTGTGTTTATTTTTTGCTTGTTGCATTGTTTATTTTAATGACAGCCTTGTGAATCCTATCAGGAGTCCTTCCCAGCTGTCAGCAGTGATGGAAGTGTAGAACATGCTCAACTCCTGGTTTTTGCATAGGGGAAAGGGAAAAGCAGGAGGATGAATGTCCATAGAAGTGCCCACCCCAATCCATTCGCACCTAGGAAAAGCAAGAAAAAGGATGGGTCCTTTTGGGCTAAGAACATTGGTGTCTAGAGAGAACAACAGGGTAATTAATAACAATCAGAACCACAGAATGGTTGTGTTGAAAGGGACCTCACAGCCCCAGCCCACACAGTGCTGGCTGTCCCCAGCTCAGGCTGCCCAGGGCCCATCCACGACTATGTGCACCTCCAGGGACGGTGCAGCACAGCTCTGGCAGCAGTGCCAGTGCCTCAGTGTCCTCTGAGTGAAGTATTTCCTTGCAATATCAAACCCTCTGTTACTTTAAAGCCATTCCCCATGCCCTGTCGCTATCAGACCCTGTAAAAAATCAGTCTGCTCCTGTTTATAAGCTCCTTTTAAGCAGAGATGTTTTCTTTGCATCTATTTCATGTATAGCTGAGAATAGCATTGATGGAGCTTTCTTCTGCAGTTGATGTCATTCCTTTGGGAGCATTGCTCCAAGTATCACGCTGTGGGGGGAAAATATGGTTATTCCAGGGTTATTCTAGAGCATTTTAATGAAGGAAAATGTACAGTATGGTGCAATGCAAGATGTGTTCTATCAGGTTCTGAGGGTTTTGCCAGCAGGAATTTTTAGACCAAGCTCGTTATGGCTGATAGATGAAAACAAGCTGTCATTACTTAAAAATAAATGAGAAATGGCTGATTTGATAAAAATTCAATTTATTCAAAATGGGCTGAGATAAACACACTTGAATTTATTCTTTATTTCTGCATTAGAATAATTGTTTGGAATTACACCAGTGAAATTTGGTTCGGATGAGATAAAAATTGGCCACCTGTCAAGGAATAAAGTATTTCGGGCTGCTCTGTGGTAGGCTTCACTTTTTTGAGTGTAACAAAAGATGGTAACCAAGGCAGTGACTTGGAAGTATATCAACTGTGCAACTTCTTTGTATAAAAGCTCGCTGTCAGGGCCCAGGTATGTTCATGTCTCTGTCCCACGTGCTTGTGTGTCACTGCACCGTAGCATCTCCTCATTTGGATGGAGTCCTTTACGTGCATGTGTACACACAGCACATCTGCTGCACTCCGTGTGATAAGGACGCATTGAGGGCTGCAGTTCTGGCACTGCTGAGCTCCTCTCCTTTGCTTGGAGGTCCACGTGCAAAAGTGGGAGTAGAAGTTGGTTTTAAGGGTGTGTTTCTGGCCGTCTGCGATTCAGCTGTGCGTGGAGACACTGCGGCTGAGGAAGCAACCAGAAAAGAGCCCTTTGCCCGCTGTGGGAACATGAATACTGTTCTGGGGTTTGTGCTGTGTGGTCTATAATTATGGCACTCTAACTGCAGATTTCCTAAAAACTGTCATCTATTTAAATAGCATGTCAGCGAAGGTGAAGCAGGAGTACAGCTTCTAGAACAAAACCGGATTGCTAATTAATCTAAACCAGTGTATGTTACCGTTAACGAGTGGTGAATCAATCATGCTGTTGCCCTTTTGATGAAGCATGCTCCTGACTGCCGGCCTTATGGTGACAGCAACGAGTGGCATTGCTGCCATGGAGCAGCTCCTGCTGTAACACAGTGGCTCTCCAAAGTTATCTGCTGCTTGTACGGAGCTCGGAGCGCTCTGCTCTCCCCTTTCATTAGTTTACATACGATTAATGATGTTTATTTTCTCTCCTTCCTTCTCTCCATCCTGATTATTTTGGTTTCATGCCTTGGAGAGCAATTTCCTTTGCAACTTAAGGAAGTTGAAAACGAGTTACTCAGGTATTCAGTGGTTCCCACAGCTGGCAGCGACTTGAAACCCGACTGAAGACGCAATAAAACACCACCACCACCCCCAGCAGCATCCCACTCAAAACCTAAACCACCGTTTCTGGTTTTCTCCTGCCAGGCATGGCTCCCATTGCGTTACCGAGCGATTCAGCAGCAGTGGAGAGAAACGGGTCTGGAAAGTAAACTCTGGTCCTCAGAGTGGAGCCGTTAGGTAAATACGCTGTGTTTTACATTCAGTGCTGTGATTTCATAAACATGGGTAGCAAGCTGCACCAGATGCACAAATCAGAGATTGCTGTTAATGCAAATGTCCTTCTATGGGCACTGAATGGGTCGGTGATGACATTTGCATACATATAGCGCTTAATCTGGAATCGGGGGGCAATTTCCTTTTTGCTCCGATCAATTTGCCAATGCGTGGTCTCTCCAGTTCGTCGTACAGCCTTTTATTTACAGCTATTCCCATTGCATACGCGTCTCCTTCAGCAACCTTTCCCCGCGGCGCAGCCTATTATTTTAAGGAGGGTCGAAGCCACCCGCTGCCATGCGGACGAGAAAGCTGTGCTGCACAACGCTGCTGCTCCCTGCTGCTGCTGGAAGACGCTGTTTTCCTTCTCGTGTCACACAGCCTGTGTCCTCCACGGGCTCCTCGCTTCCCGGAGGGATCTGTCGTAAGGAAGAGTAGCAAAAAAAGAATTTTTCAGCTGGCAGTTAATGAAGAGCACGATGAGTGTCACAGTCAAGAGCAGAAAGAAAAAGAGGATGATGTAAGTCACCAGGTCGGGCTTGTTGATCTCGCCTTCTTTTAGCACCCTGGCTGTCGACATGTAGAAGGCGGAGGAGCTGACAGGTCGCTGCGTGCTGCCCAGGTAGGGAGTGTTGGTCTGAAGGATGAGGTGAGCTTCGGTGGCACTGGTTGAGTTTAGCAATTCACTATACATGTTCTTGCTTAAATTTCCTCCACGGTCGAAGTAAAGAACGAGAGCACACACAGTCACTGTTTGGCATAGGGAAGGAAGAATATTCCCGCTTGTAAAATCCTGACAGCGAGCCACATTTTGCCTAAAAGTAAAACCAAATTACTCCCCAAGCCGTGCGAGGGGATTTGCTCTTAAATCTCCGTGGCTCATATTTACAGCATTCATCCACAAGACATAAATCACAACCGGCGCGGGTACCTCGGTGCCGCTCCCGCCTGCGGGCGCATGGAGTGCGCAGCCCTCGGACCGGGTCTGGGCTGTTGGAGCCCTCGATGCCGTCCAGGGGAGGGCACGGAGGCTCTCCGGATGCTTTTCCCCACTGGAATGGAGCCTGGGTTAAACGGGATCCGCGGATAGAGGCGGTTGAAGCGTTGGCATCCCGCTGGGTTCGCTGTGTTCTCCCCCGGGATCCTGCCCGCTGCCGGAATCCCGGTGCATGAGTTGAGTTTCTTAATCCCGGTTATCAATGCGCTGTGTAGCTCCCGTTCCAAGGTTGAGCTTGCTGCTTTCCAAGCATTTCTTTTCGCTTTGAGGGGGAAAAAAAAAAAAAAAAAAAAAAAAAAAGAGAGAGAGAAGAAAAGAAACAAAACACAACAAACCAAATGAAAAGAAAAAAAAAATCTCTCCAACGTCCCTTTGTTTTTTTTAAAAAAATAGAAACAGCAAAATTCCTCCCTGTAAATCAGAGGGGAGAGAGGATCTTTGGAAACCTCCCCTCTGCCCTCACCTCAGCAGCGCTGCGGAGCGGGACTGGGCAGGATGGTGCCAAACGGGACTTTTCCTTCTGCCGGAGCTCCTCCGCAGCGTCACTCTGCCGGGAAGGGAGGGAGCGCGATGTGTCTGCCGGAGGCACCGTGCTGAGCGGCGAGAGATCCTCCGAGCAACCCCAGTGTGAGCCCCAGGCTGCGGGGAGAGGTTTGGAGCTGGGGGAGGGCAGCAGAGAATGGGACGAAAAGAAGGCGACGGCATCAAAACCTTTTTTTTTCTTTTTTTTTTTTTCCCCCCTTCTTTTTTCCCCCCCCCTCTCAAATCTCTATTGTTAAAATTGATCTCTCTAGCGCAGAAAATGCCTTTTCGTTTCTTTTTTTCTTTCTTTCACACGGGCCCCGGCACCCTCTCCAGCCTGACAATTAGCATGTTAATTTTTTTCCATCAAACTGCCTTTATGCCGCTATTAGCTGCTGGCTGCTCGCCAGCCTGCGCTCACCCCGTCGCATCAGATAAGCGCGGTTAATGCTTCCTTTTAACTCGCCCTGACTTGGGGCAGCGGCGAGGAAGGGGTACAGAAGGGCAGGGGAAATCGACGGCAGGAAGCACCCGACGCGTTCTCTCCATCCCCGGGGTACCCATCCAAGCAAACGCGAAAGCTGCTTATGATGAACTATTGCAGCCGGCTGTCCAGGGAGGTTAAACATTTCAATTAGCATAATAAATGTTTCTGCTAGGAAAGAGGGAGAAATCCCCACATCAGGCAGATTTAAATCAAAGGGAATGAAGGCTCTGCTAGGAGGCAATGCCCTTGTGCAGCCTGTTCCTATCTGCTGAGCTCCAGGTACCTGCTGAGCCCTTGTGCCCTTCTGGTGGCATGGCTGAAGGCTGCTGTCAGCTCACAGCTCCATTCCCCATCCTGCTCCCATCACCAGAACAGCCCATACCTGCTCTTTGCCTCCTTGCTTTGGGTCAAGATGTGAATTTGCAGGGCGATGTTCCTCCAAGGCTTTTGCTGGGTTTTATTTTCTTTTTTTTCTTCACCCCCCCACCTTTGCAGCCAAAGGAGCTGACTTTTCCCCGTGCCCTGGTTTATTTCCCCATCTTTAACCCCAGAACGGGGCACCGTGATGGCTCCTCCTGGGATCATTCCCCCTGTCCACAGCGCGGCCGTGGTTACCCATATTTACTCTGTATGGGTTCAAAGAGCAGCGTGGAGAGGCAGGCAGCCAGCACAGGGGCTGGAAAAATCAACAGAGCCATAAAAAAGCTGGTGCAGCTCCTACCTGTCCTACCTATGGTGTCTCCTTGCAGCCAGAGCAGCACTGAGCAGTGCAGAACATGGATGGTTGGAGGTCTGCGTGTCTTCCCAGCACCCTGCCCTCTTCCTCCCTGAACTCTGGTTGACCTTAACCAAACTTTGCATCCTTTGTTTGTTTACTTTATTGGTTTTATTAATCCAGTAGGAAAAGCAGAGAGGCAGCCGGGGGAGCTGAGTGCTGAAAATAGCAAGGATTGTCTTCGTGTTTCACGTCTTTCAGCCCAAAGCTCATTAAAATGGCTTCTCTGCCAACTCCTCAAAAATGCCACAATGGATGCACAGAAATGTTGCATTAGAGGAGCGCTCCTTTTAACCACTGGAGTTGTCCCCAAGGCTGAAGGGACAGCCTGAGCCCCCTCTTTCCACTCCTGCTGGCATACAGATTCCACATGGAACTGGAACATTTTCCCTTTTCCTCCTACAAAACGTTATCTCATGCTCTTTCAGGATTTGTTTTCTGCCATGAGGATACAATGGTTCAGTGCCATGGCTTCATGTTCATGGTTTTGGATTGAGAGCCGTTGCTAATGGTCACGGAGTGAGCGCTGGAATAAATCCCTGGGTGTTTTACAGCTGCCCTGAGTGCATGCGGGCTGTGGGGTGGGAAAAGCTCCTCCTGCTTTTGCCTGCCTGTCTGATATACAAAGGGATGAGAAGCTCTGGGAGTAGTAAATCAGATGTGGTTTCGGCAGCTCCGTATCCAGGCTTCATCTCAAAAAAACCCCCGAATTGCTATAAATAATACTTTAATTGCAAAAAGTAAGAGCTGATCCTTTCCCCTTGTTTTCCTTAGTTTGGAAGCTCATTTAAAGTCCTCTGTTCCTTGTGATTTTTACACGCTAATTTACTTGGTAGCTTTGTTGTTATTTTTTCTTGTTTCCTTTTACTTTTCTTGAAGGTTTTCAGCATTTAATGACTTGTTTGGGTGAGATTGTAACGTGTGCTGGAAACGGTGCTGCAAGGACACACGTGGAGCCTCCAGCAGTGACTGAGTTAGCTGTGTAATGAACCTCTCAGTGCTGTGGCTTCCTGGCTCCCCTGGGATCTGGGTCAGTGTAACTATGGGGGTGAGTCCTGAAAGGTCTTCGTTCTTCTGAGCACCATTTAGGTATTGCTTCCAACCCAAGCCATCTTATGATTCTGTAGTGACTCGGTGGTTGTTCTGGCCACACCATGGTCCACTTTTGCCATAGCACAGCCAATGCTGCTACAAATCACTTGCAATTCAGTGCTTGGCCCTATCAGCTAACACTCTCCTGGTGACTCGGACCGTGCTGTTAGCTTTAACAACCATCAGCCAAGCTGCAAACAAGCAGGATGCAAAACGCGAAGAGTGACCAGTGCTTGGGGTTTGGTTGTGCAGTGGACTGCTGGAGCCTTTCCCTATTTCCAGCCTGGTAAATAATGCATGATCTGTCTCTTACACGCTTACTCAACCCCTACCACGATAAAAATCAACCGAGGGAAATGAGAGTGGAAAGGAGCATTATCTTTCCCAGTAATGCAACCATTTACAATCTGTTACGATCCTTCTGCTGAGGAGTAAGTGGTGGTGGAGGAGTTTGTTTCTATTAGCAGACCAGAAACCATAAATCACGGGCTGTAGTTTTCCAATGTCACGTACAAGCAGCCTTAAAGCCCTTAAAAAAAAAAGAGAGATAGAGAGGGAAAATGGAAATAACTTCTGTATCAATCTATCTATCTATCTATCTCTATATATTTTTAATTGCTCTGGGGTAATCTAGGCACACTTATTTTGTGTGCCTAAGTATCAAATACCAACGACTGTATTTTCCAATGTAGGATCTTAAAGCTAAGCAACAGACACCTAAAGAGAGGGTGCTGCCTTTGGTGCTTAAAAGCAGATCTGAATGCCTGAGAAAATTGGCCCAAGTGCAAACTAGTGTGGAAAATCTTTTATTTCTTAAGAACGTGTTTGTCATATTTAAAACTGAGCTCTAGCGTGGCATTTCTTCGGGTCTGTTCTCACCAGCTGAAACAGAAGCATCTAAAGAGCATCCAGAAAAGTCTGCGGATCCAATGGAAATGGGAGCTTCTGTGCATTTCTTCAATGCTCTGCCTAAATCCTCTACTCTCCAGTGGTGAGGAGCCTCTTGGTTGGCCACAGCACCATTCCAAGGAGGGAAGAATCACCCTGCCCTTCTGCCAGCCTGCTCAGCTGTGGCTGCTGTGGTTGGGAGTTTTGGTCAGGTAGGACTGTTTTGGGAAAGGGGTGAACCCTCAGCTAGGAATCTTTCCCTGGCATCCCCCTGCTCTCCCTTATATTCATGTGGAATGAGAGGAGAATCATGAAGGGAAGCTTTGCAGATCATCGTGGGGTTTCTGACTGGTGGAGCTGTCTGTACTTTTATTGTTTCTTGTTTCTCGTACAACATTCTGGTGTTGGAAACTGCTCCTCCTGTTCTGCGTGGTCTGTCAGTTTCTGCTTCTCTCAGTGAATTACAGCTGGGGCAGGTGAGGTTTCTCTTTCTTCTCTGATTATTGATTTTTGCTTTGCATTTTAAGTTCTTCCTTGTGACCCCAAGTAGTCTGGAAGAACCGATAAACCTGGGTGACCCCCAGACCTGCATGTCTGTTCTGTACAGAAGGGAGGCACACAGACCAAGCCTGCTATTGCTCTGACCACATTCAGTGCAAGTGGCCTATTGTGCAACTCATTTGTTTGTTTGAGAAGTGGCCTTGATGCTACTTCCTGACACTGCAAAGGTCCCAAGCATTCATCACAGAGGGTGGCAAGGTGCTCCAATGCAGTAAAATAAGAGCAAAGAACCAGGCTAAAATAGGGCAAAAATTTTCCCCCAGCCTTGTAGCAATTGATCCGAAATCTCCATCTCCAATGGTGTTGGTGATCTTCTGCAAGTTCAAGAACCATAAACTCTAACAAGTTTGAGCTGTGAGCCCATTGCTCTAACACAGCATCTTTGCCCCAGATAGGAAGTCCTCTCCTCCAGGCACCATCAGGGCTTGCTGTGTGCATGCCTCCCTGCTTGTGTAACTGAGCAAATACAAAGCAAATATATTGCACAGGGTCAGCTGTTGATTATTGCTCCTGGTGTGAGCTAAGGCTGCTTACAGCATCAGCTCAGCAATATTGTTCACACAGACGGTGCTAACTCCTGGGCCCTTGGGTATCTTTTGGCAGTAGGAATCAGATAAAGTGGAAGAGCAGCACATCACCATTCTCAGGGCAGGCATAAATTTCAGAGGCTAAGCTAAACTGTATTTTGGGAAGTGCCAGGCTGTGTTGCTGGTGACTGCTGGAAGGTGCACTTCCACCTACGACCCCAAAAAATTAAGGGAAAACCAATTATGGTGTTCCTCAGCAAGCTGGGGAGGAGCTCTGATGTTTAATTGTGTGCTGCTTGGTAAAGAGGAACAGCTTTATAGTTTCTGATTTATCATTAATAGCAGTCTGACTCAACAGATCACACTGCCAGTTCTGTTCAGTTTAGAGATCTTCTCAGTGCTAAAATAGAACCTATGGCAGCACACAGAGAGCATCCCTGGGGATGCAATGGGAGCAAATGGGCAGGGATGGGGCTGCCCCATCTGCTCTCACCTCGTTTGCTTTTTTGTTTTTAATGTATGTTTGCCCAAAAAGGAAGAAAAAGATTGATGGTCCTCTATGCCAGGTTTCTGTGTCTGGTTATTCCTTCATCTGTGGTAGAATCCTGGAGAAGGACGGGACGTCAGCTCTCTGTGTTTAGGTTCCATTTAATTTTACTGAGAAAAGCAAAGCTCAGCCAGCAGCATCTGCTGGAAGGGAAACCAACTGTGCCCTTTTTGGCTTACCTGTGAGCGTGGCTGAGCTTTGTAGGTACTGGCTTTTCACCTCTTCATTCTCTCTGGTGACCCTTTGGCTCTCTGTCTCTCATTGCCTGATGCAATTATCATTAATCGAGGCAAGGTTCCTGCCCAAAGCTGAGCAGCTCTGGCAGAGCAGCAGCAATGGAGCAGTGCTCCACAGAGGGCGGAGGCTCCTCTGCAAAGCACTGGCTGTGGTTGGAAAAGCTCATTGAATTCACTGGGAAAGAAAATCTATCAGCCCGTGACAAGGATTATTTTAATAACCTAAAATCTTATTGCTTCTGGAACATCTGCTCTTTGGTGGAGCAAACAAATAGGTTTTAATTTCATTGCCTTAACTTCATGGAAATAAATTTGAGAAGCGCAATAACCGATTATTAGTTGGGATAACAGCATTATCTTTTTCACATTGGTCACAAAAGGAAAACTGCAGGAAATACAAAGCTCATAGAAATACCTTCAACCTCAGACCCTTGAAATGTCCGCATCTTAATACACCACAACTGGGAAAAGAGAACTTCACCTGACCTTTAAGTTTGCAGAGGAAAGCAGTCACCGAGTTGTTCCTTTGGAGGTGATGGGTAAGGTGGTGTTACTCAGTGACATTCCCTGTCTGTAGAGAGGCTAATGTATTCCTGTTGCATTTAATTAGTTTTGAACCTATGTACGTGAGAAATGCAGCACAGTGCTGTTATTAAAATTCATGCTTTATAATAATTAGCACAGTTTGTTCAGTCCCTGAGAACTGCCAGCAAAAGGACTATTAACTTTGGTTAATGGTGGAAATGTCTCACCCGAGCTATCGTTTAACCCTTTGCTGCAGAAAAGTTGTGGTTGTTCTCAAAGGCTACATCAGGCCAGCCATTAATTACCAAAACTCATTAATTGTAGCAGATTGACTGCTATAAAATCTCTTCAATTGAACTTTTGCGATGATCAGTAGGGAAATGGTGACAAACACAGGCAGAGCTGTCCCTTTTAAATTGCTGGTGTTTTATTTCTCATCGAATCCCTATCTGAAATAGGGGAAAATGACCAATAAGGTTCAGAAACTCTTTCTTCAGAAGATCAAAGTCATAAAACTCTGTTAATTCCCTTTGAGACAGAAATAGGAATTACAGTTAAGAGACTTCACCCCGTGACTTTTTCTTTCATGTTAAAACTCCCTAATTGTTCCCCAAATGCATCTCCCATTATATTCCACTGTAAACTAATTTGCTAAGCCATCAGGAACCCGAGAAAAATCTCTTAGTTAAAAACAGCCTCTTGCAAGAGCAGCTGAAAAGCACAAATTCTGAAGAACCACAGTGATGCCCTGTTCCTCGTTCCCAGCAAACATGCCTTTGGTCTTATTTTTGGTAAACCTCGGCCTTGTCTTACTGTTCAGAACTCACAGTTGAGTGTTTACAGGCAGAATTTCAGCTGAGTTTTCTGAATTTCTTGAAGGCAATTTTACCTGGATTTTTTAAATCTCTTTGGTGCCAGATTCTTCCTAGAGCAAATCTCATTGCTTTGCTTTGTCTCACAGTGCTGGGTGGCTGCAATGTCACCAGTCTATGTGGCACCACTCCTGCAGGTAAGCACTTATCTGACAAAGTTCCCTTAGAAGCAGTTTTGCCTTCGTTTTTTTTAAGAAAAAATTTGCATGGTGCAAACATTGCATCCGTATTCTTAATGGCTATTTAGAAAGCGAAGTGTTTGGGTGTGCTGGAAAATAGCCCTGGGCTCCTATTTGCCACGTGTAGTTGTGTGAAGATCTGAGAAAAATCACCATCTGGTGTCTCCAGACTCAGATCCTCAGAAAATGCACAGAATACTGAAATGAAGGGAATTCGGGCATTTCTTCTGATGATTTGTTCAACTCTTTTTGTCTCTCCCAGAGGTGCGCGGAGGACGGATACACAAAAGAGTGGGGAGGGCTGTGTACTGTCTGCATGTGTTCTGCAGATGATAATAGGGAAGGTCAGCAGGAAGAAAGGATAGCCTTTGAAAAAGTATTCTGCCCTCCAATTTTAAAATACGTTTGAGCTCTTACTTTGTAAAAGAAGGAACTGGTGACCTGGTGGCTTAATAGTATTGCCTATTCAAAGGCAATCGGTTCTTGGAATAATTTTGAGGCATTTGGAGCCATTTTCTAGTAGTAAAATTTCAGATTTGATCTTTTATTTCCCACATTGGCCACAAGAGAGGATTCGCTTTGCTGTGCCGGGGTACAAATCATTTTCATGTTAGAAAACCAAAAGCCATTAGCTGTGCTTTTACTTGGTGCAGAAGACAGAAGCATTAGTACTGTAACACAGCATGTTTTCTGCTGAGTGCATGGTGTGATGGCTGGAAATCCTGAAATTTGGAGCTAAAGAGCACCTCATCCCACATCTCGGAGGGTATTCGCACTGAGATCTGAGCAACTCCCAGTGGGCAACTGCCAGCATTTCAGCTTTTATTTTGGTCACTGGATTGAATGGACCCTGAGAAACACTGGGGGAAAAAAAAAACAACAAAAAAACAATCCTAAGCCTAGAAGAAGCTGCAGATGCTTCAAGCTGGGATGGGAAATTAATAGAATTATTATTCATTTCAATGGTGGCTCTTTAAATGTGGGGCAACTCACTGATTCTGTGCCTGCTCTGTGATCATTTTCCTTTTTGTTAGCGGCATTTCCTGCCAAAATTAATCAGTCACTCCTTGATGCTGGGCCAGTTCCCTGAGTTACACGTAGTCAGTCAGGTGGCGATCCAAATGCTTGCCCACTGCTCCACTGTTTTCTTTCTCTCTGACTCTGTCAGAAGCATAAGACACATCCATGGATCATGGGAGAGAGAAGCAGGTTTGTTCTCCTTTATCTCTGTGCTGGGGAAAAAAAAAAAGCCTCTCAACTCTATAATCATCTTTCTATAAAATAAATTACTTTATCTGTCTTAATACTGTCACTCTTCAGTCCTCCAGTGATCTACTTCTTCCATCTGTGTGCATAACTGAAATCTTCTCTCCACCTACTCTATGTACTTCCAAGTGTCAAAATCCAGCCTCAATCATTGCTGTCATCAGTCTCTCGTTCTTGATGGGATAGCGGGTGAAACGTCACTGTTCCTCAGATCTCCATGGGTAATTTCTATGCTCGATTTGCAGAGTTGAGGTAAACTATCAGAAATACGACCTAAAATAGTGTTTTGTTTTGTTTTATTTTGTCAGTTGAAGTTTTCCACTTTCTGCTCCTGAAGCAAGTCGGTATTTCTGTTGCTTTCTGGGTCTTGTTTCCATCATGACTCTTGCTGCATAATTTCAAGAGATAACCACATTACCCAAATCCTATGAAAGTTGACTTACTGCTTCGTATTGAGTAATTCTGCATGACTCACACTTTGTTCTCTGAGACAATTTTTACGCTCGTTTGCAGAATACTGTTGAGACAATTGAGCTTACTTACCAAAATCACCATCTTTTGTAACGAGACAGTACAATCACTTTCCTCTTTCACAAAGCCATTCCAAGAACAATGGGCCGACCCATAAATAACAACCATTTGTTTTTGCTTAGAATACGGATTCTACGGCAGGGAAAAGAAAGAAACCTTCTTAGTAGCCTCGCATCTTCCCAGATAAATGTGACAACGCGCCTCTCCTGCTGAGCTGTGACCTACTTTGCTCACAAAATGCTCTCGCTACCTTCCCCCAAATACCAGGCTGTTGAAGCCCCAGGAATTCTTCACCTCGGGTGCGAAACCGTGAAGTGTCACTCAGCACCAAAGGATCCTCAATGGTTTCCCTGTCTGGCGGCACAGCGCTGCTTATCGCATCCCCTGTGAATGCCTCTCTTCTCATCACGTTGCTGTTGGGATCAGTTTCTATCTCTGCTCCAGCATATGCCCCGTGAGTTTGGAGCTGGGTGAATTTTGCCATCTTGTGAGAGGTTTGGGTACTTTTTTTTTACTTTTTTTTTTGATTGGGTTTATTTCTGGGTTAGCTCCATTTCAAATGTTTTGCTCTGCCGTAATCCTTTTTTTTTTTTTTCCTATTTTTATTTTTTTTATTTCTTCATATTTTTTATGGCTGAAAAGGAATCCTTTTCCTCTAGCTAATACATTATGTGCATCAGAACTTGGTAATGTGCCTGTTCACGGAGAAACAGGAGTTGAGATCGAGCATCATCAGCTGTGGGAATGACCTACACCATATGGGACATGCGACAGTTACCCAGTCTGCATTACATAAGGAATAAAATCGTGTTGCTTTGCTGAAGCATGGAAGAAAAGAGAACTAGAATGTGATGACAAATGGCTGCTCCTGAGGATAAAGGTCCTTAGATGTACTACCATAGTTTTTTTTGGCTTTATAACTAATGTATATGATCTACTTGTTAAATTCAAGCTCGTTGCATTGCAAAGGCAGCATCTCTTGGCTTGGTACTTGTTTTAGTTAAGTAGCACAGCACTTAAATATAGAAGCTGAGTTTGTCCATCAGGTTTTGCATTTATGACTCACAACTGATCACAGCACGTAGTCGTTACCACCCACTGGGCGATGCTCAGGTTCATTATTTGGGGCAGATTAGTAGATTCTAATGCCACAAAGCATCATTACAGTCAGAAGGTAAAAAAAAAAGCTTTTGTTAGGTGGAAAAATTGATCCTGATTGTTTAGCAAAAAAAGCAGTCTGGGAGATGATGCTATATAATATATGTATGCCCTTACGGGAGATGTGCTGCACCCTGGAGAGCTGCCTGCAGGAGCTGGTTGCCCCAACCTGTTGCTATCCCAAAACAAACCTTTAAATGCTGGGGAATTAGCAACAAGCCAGAAGGAAAATGGCGAATTCCTTAGGTCTTGCTTTCTTTTAGCTACAACTGGGTACCTTTCAGGATGACACACTTGCATTGAACAACTCCTGATGTCATGCAAAAGGCTGGATGTCATCACCTGTGAACTCAGGAGGTTGGATCACAGCTCCTTCCCTCTGCCAGGGGAAGTCTTTGAACCATCTCATCTTATGCCTGGCATTTGCTGATATCATGTAATGGGGTACATACTGTATCCACTCTGCATTTCTGACAATTCTTTATCAGCAGTGACTCTCTTATTCCCAGAGGGGAGCTGAGCAGAGCTGTGTGGAGCCCCATTCCCTCTACATGGGGATTTCCAGTGCCTGCCTTGCCACGAGGGAAATGCTAGTGGTGTCAAACCTAATACGTTAACAAACAAGCTTGCACGCATGGTGATTGAAGGACCCCAGTGTAATTGCCAAGCTGCCTCTGGGAGCTGATCCCATGTGTAATTTCCTCCCTAAATTTGGAACTTCAAGATGCATTGAATGGCCTTATTGCACGTTTTTTCTGCTTGATATTTGGATACCAGTTTCATAGAACCATCTTTACACGTGTATGACTTTGTAATGAAAAAAAGCGCATACAGGAGTGGCAGAGTTAAGGTCAGGTTATTTTTAGATGTTTTATAAACAATATAGCCCCCCCAAAAAAGTCCAGAAGTATCCTGTTACAATAAGGTACAGCTTTCCACACTGTAAATGATCTGAAGTCCCTCTTTGTAATAATTCTCAAGCTCTTTACCTAGCACTTATGATTTCATTTTGCTTTATGCTTTGCTTGTGATATCACTTTGCTTGCATTTGCAGAACTCATCCTTGCATGTAGAAAGAAGCTGCCTGCATGCTGTCTTCTAGGAATAAAAGCTCTAATCTGCTGCACTGGGTTTAATAAATATTTTATCACTCATTGTTTGGAATATTCTCCCGGTGAACCTCAGCAGCTGCTCTTTGTGAAAACGATGTCTGATTCAAGAGTAGGGGTTTGCTTCCACATTCTGGGTAAGAACTGCAGCCCAGGTAACCCCATACTGCTGCCTACTTCTTCCTATTACCACGCTTTGGTATTGTGAGAGCTTTGCATTAAGGAAAGAAGAGGTACATAACTTAGAAATGCTCTCTGCACTTGCATGAGCTTTAGAGCCTTCCATGGCAGCAGGGCCAGGAGGTGATGCCCTCTGCTGCTCTGGGGCCCACAGGGCTCAGCAAGGATTCTGGCATTGGGCTGCAGCCCCGACCCTAGAAGTGCCACTGGAGTTGCATTGTCACTGCTGAGTGACAGTGGGGTCATTGATTCATTGGTGTCACAGAGGCTGCTGTAAGTATGAGGAAACAAATGAAACCCTCATTCCTAAATCTGTGTTTCATACCTCCTTGTCTCTCTCCTAAATTCTGATGCCATCTAGTCAGAGTGAAGTGAATGGTGTCATAAAGCTTGGGCTTAGCTGAAAGCTGGAAATATGTGCGTGCATGTGTCTGAAGTGCCTCTCAAAACACCGCACAGCCACTTTTCTGATGTGCAATTTTCATTTTATTGATATATATACATTTTTTTACATACAGTTACGTAATTGCAAACTGTACCCATTTACACCTTTCAGAAGGCAGTAACTTCAGGAGTGAACGCGGGATTATTTTTAGTATGTATTCAAGTTTATTCATGCTGAAAGGTAGTAGTTATCTTTTGTAATTTTAGAGTAGCTCTCTGAATAAAAACATGAGTATAGCTCCGTGTTAACTGCCACGTGACACTTGGGAGCGGGCTAAAACCTCTCCTAGGATGACAAAATCTCTGCTTTTTTGCTTTTCAGCACCCCAGTGGTGCACACGATAGCGATGTGTGTGTTGGGACCTGTGTCCATCAGTGCATAAAACGTGAGCTAGCTTGTGTGCACTGCGATGGAAATACCTCTAGGCCAGAAGGAAGTACAGTTTCCAGTGTTGGTTTTTGTGTGTGTATGCGTGCGTAGGAAAAGCTTATTGAAATTCAGCTGTGCTTTCCAAGTTCAAATTCCATATTCAGCCATCACCAGAGGGGTTATTAGATAGAAATCTGTGGGTCCTCAGCTGAGCGTTCTCCCCAGAGCTGAGTAAATACCTCTGTGCGCCAAATAGCGGAACCTTTTCTTCAGTTCACAGGCAACTGTGCAGAGGTTGCAAGTTTCTCATGTTTTGGGGTCACTGTTCAGATAAGTCTTGTGTTATTGTTTCTGCTTTCTGATGGAATAATGAAAAACAAGGAGCCTGCAGAAGGAGTGAGCAATTTTGGGGGAAGGAGCTCAGTTGTTTGTCCAAGAAGGCACGCAGGGATTTGGCTGGGATAGACTAACATAGAGGCACCAGAAAAGGTCAGCAAAAATGCATTTTGCAAAATTTCCTTTGTTCCAAGTTTGATTTCCAAGAACTTGAACATCAGCCTCTTATTTGGAGATGACTGTGGGTCTGACACTAGAAGAAGATATGCTGCAAAAATAATAAGTGAGTCACAATGATAATGAGGCTATCATTATGCAACAACAAGCTACCCAAGTTTCCTTTGCAGGCAGTGCACAACTGTACATTTTGATATCCCAGATAATCTGGGTTGCTCCTATCTCAGGGCCTGAACTCTTATCTCTGTGCAATGCCATCTTACAGAAGCATTTTGCAGAATAATGACTCCCACTGTCTCAAACAAATGTATCATAAGAGCATTTGTACTACTGAGTTCGCTGACGACATTTTTCAAGGAGGTATTTTGTGACATATTTGCTCTCCTAATCTATATTTCTATTCAGGGCATTTTGAAAGTGTTTTCCAGCTTAGGAATCCTAATGAACCAGCCCTGTGTCTGCTCGTGTTTCCTCAATAATAAACTCCTCTAACTCCCTAGCAATGTTTGCCAACTGGAATTGCACAGCTGCTGTGGAGCAGCGTAAGGCAGAGATGGAGCAGTTCCTCATGACGTGCCCAAGTCACAGGAACAGGAAAGTGACATGGTTTGTATTGTATTCCCACTGCAGCAGCTGAGAGCTGCAGAAGGCCCATTTCCATGAGCACCTGCTATTTTCTTTGACTGACAGCTGTGCAGAGTGGCAGGGAGGATGTTGGACCCCAGCAGTTCTCAGCTGCATCCCAGTGCTGCTTTCCTCCTTCCCAGCTCAACGCTCGCGTTTCAGCCTCCACTGTGCTGACTCCATAAAGGTGATGGGCTGAGCAGTTTCCTAATGTGCAAATGTCAGAACCTGTGAAGGGTTACACTTCTGTAGGCATTTCCCTTCAGAACTCAGTAGAATTCAGTTCCTCTATCCATTTGCATGGAGACAATCTGTTTTTGGGTTTGTTTGGGTTTTTTTGAGCTTTGGCACTGGAGTATGCAAACACTCCTTCTTCTGTTTCAGTGGTTGTTATGAATGGAAGAGCTACAGATCAACCTTCCTTACTATCGTCAGCTCTTACACCCCAGAAATGGTTGCTGCCTCCAGGCTTACAGAACCTTCTCCAGGCTGTTAAATCTCTATCTTCTAATTTCCTTCCCCATAAGCAAGAGATCTGCAGTGGTGGCTGCCAGCAATGTAGCCAGGTAAGCACATCATCATCTTGCTAATCTGTTCATTGAGCTGGTAAGTGATCAATTGAGGTCAACTCCTTGCTTCCCTCTCTACCTGTATCTTTCCTTTTTCTCAAAGAAAGCATCATCTCTAGCTGTGCATCACTATTCACTAATTGCTGTGCTTTTGTTGCTGGTC